ACTCGAGCAGCAAACTACGAGCTATAATTTTTATCCAGGAATCAAGATGGTTGAAATGGCATCCTGCGTCGTTGCTTTCGAATGCCGTCCATGTGCTGACACTGCTTATTATACCATGATTGGTAATTCACTATGCAGATTAGTATGCAGCCAGGAGTTTTCATTTCTCTAGCAGTAACAACCATATTTAGTTTTCATTCTTTTTTCAGGTGTTAGGCAGTCTACAATACAATATGTGATTTTTATATAAAATAACGCATTATAATTTACAACTAAACAGTCATCAGTATGTCATTTTATGCCAATTTAGGACAACATTACTGTTTTGCACAGTGCAGCTATTGGAGGTAATGTGACTGTTATTCAAAAATTAGTTGATGCACAATTGGACTTGGAAGCAAAAGACAAGGTAATACTCAATGATACAATATATAATCACAAAAAACTACACAAAGACACCACTGATGTTATCTACAGAAAATGCTCATGCTATACTCAGTTGTAGTGGTTACGCTATTAATGAACAATATGACCATTGTTATATTTTATAGGAGGACAGAACAACACTGCATTATGTATGTGAGTATGGTGGTATTGCTGCAGTGGAAAAATGTCTTACTTTGGGAGCTGATATACATGCTAGAACTGAGGTGAGTATCAAAATTGATAAACAGTTTCATGTAACAATACACTTATGGCGAAAATTATACAATAATGTTATGTAGGTTTGGGTTATTAAAATTTGAGCTAAGGTTAGAAAGTCATATAACACTATATACACCAATTAAACAGTACATGGTACACTAAATAATGGTAAGAATGTTTGGTGGTTTCATCAGTAGCTAAACAAGTGGTAAGTGTTTATATAACACTACACCTCATGAAAACAATACATGGTAGCAGTAGCTGGTTTCATTACTCAACTAGATATAAGTGGTCATATATTAAATAATTATTGTGAAAATAGACACAAACTACTCCAAATGCCAATGTGAATTTTATCAGTGGCACACTAAGTGTATCATTAGCTTAACTCTACTCTACTCATCCCATCATAGAGATGCTAATAAAATACATGCAACTCTCATCAGCGAATTGTTGGTTTTACATATTATTGAATTT